TTTCACCATACTCTGAGCTCCTACAAATAAGGAACAGAGTTTGTTTTTCTACTCTATTCCTAGTACCAAGCTCAATGCCAGTATTATATAACAGACACTAAATATGTATTTGTTGAGTATCTGCAGACAAAAATAAAAATTCATACCTCATTTAGTATTTTATATGAGAGAATAATGGATTTTTTTGTTCTCTAAATGAAAAATTTATTATAATGTATAATGTACTTTTAAAATCCTTTTTTTTTTTTTTAACTGCTTTGGGGTCGGTGATCTGTCTCTCTAACTCAAAACTTTTTCCTCAATGATAAGGGACCCTATTTTCCTCCCATCATGATTAGAAGTAAAATCTCTTTGCATCTCAGGAAAGTTATAAATTATTTTAGGAATAAGAACATAATGGAAAACCTATGGAACTATGCTCTTTATAGGTCAGGGGGATGCTATGGTTCTATTAACCTCCCTCTATCTCTGTTCTTAGCCCCTTTCCAACTCACTACTGTCCCACTTTGGGTATTGTTTTAATCAGGCCGTTTTTGACCTCTTAATTCCTATAGCACATATAACCTGCTACACAATTTGTATTTGATTTTCTGCTTTATGTATGATTTTTAAGAGTGTTACTCTAGTCTTCCAAACTTGATTATTTCCTTCAAGACCAAGACCATATTTTATATTTGTTTTATATGCCACATAGTGCCAAGAAAATTAGCACATATGTATGTATTATGCCTTGTTCAATCCTGTTACTAACAGATTGTATTTTAGAGTTCTAATAGCAGCTGTGAGCTAAGAGCCATATAGTTGGTATGCACTAACCCACTTTCCTAGTACAACTTTTTCTCTTTGTTCACTAAAACTAGTCTTTAATAACTTCATCTAAATGTGATGGCAAATTGTGCTGTGATATATTTAATAGTCTCTGAGGATTTCTTTCAAAGTTGTAGTCAAATTTATTATTCGTTGTAGTGAAAGTAAAGGCTCCTCTGCCTTACTCATTTTATAGTAGTTAACCAAAGTTCAAAGCATTCTTGATTTGGGCTTTTTTTTCTTTTGGGAATACAAAATTCTGTTTTCCAAATTAAAAGTGCTATGTTTCTCTCCATATTGGAGGATTTTATAAAAATTAGATGGGTTTGTCTTTTCTAACTCTTCTTAATCCAGTACATTTCCCTTTGTACTTCTCATAATTACAGATTGTTGTTTAAATCAATATTTTAGGCTTTTTAAGCATTTTAAAGGGTCTGACATGTAAAACATGGAACTCTGACATATATTTCTCTTTTTAACAATTCCATTGCAAAGCAGCCAAAGTGAAATGACTGGGGTGAAACTAAAAGAGAATCTGTATTAAAAGAACAGGGACATTGACCTGTGGAACAGAACAGAGAACCCAGATATAAAACCATCCTCATATAGCCAACTAATCTTCGTCAAAGCAGACAATAACATACACTGGGCAAAAGAATCCTTAGTCAATAAATAGTGCTGGGAAAACTGGATAGCCACATGCAGAAGACTAAAACAAGACCCACACCTTTCACCTCTCACAAAAATCAACTCACGCTGGGTAACAGACTTGAACCTTAGGTGTGAAACTATTAGAATCCTAGAGGAAAACGTTGGAAATACTCTTCTAGACATCGGCCTAGGCAAAGAATTTATGAAGAAGACCCCAAAGGCAATCATATCAGCAACAAAAATAAAGAAATGGGACCTGATCAAATTAAAAAGCTTCTGCACAGCCAAAGAAACTATCAAGAGAGCAAACAGACAACCCACAGACTGGGAGAAAATTTTCACAAGTTACTCATCTGATAAAGGGCTGATAACTAGAATCTATTTAGAACTCAGAAAAATCAGGCAGAAAAAAATCAAACAACGCCATCAAACAATGGGCAAAGGACATGTACAGAAATTTTTCAAAATAAGACAGAATAATGGCCAACAAACATATGAAAAAATGCTCAACATCCCTAATCATCAGAGAAATGCAAATCAAAACCACAATGAGATACCACTTAACTCCAGTGAGAATGGCCTTTATCACAAAGTCCCCAAGCAATAAATGCTGGCGTGGATGCGGAGAGAGAGGAACACTGCTACACTGCTGGTGGGACTGCAAATTCATTCAACCTCTGTGGAAAGAAATATGGAGATACCTTAAAGTGATACAAGTAGATCTACCATTTGATCCAGCAATTCCACTACTGGGCATCTACCCAAAAGATCAAAAGTCACTTTATGAAAAAGACACCTGCACTCGAATGTTTATAGCAGCACAATTCACAATTGCAAAAGTGTGGAAACAACCCAATGCCCATCAATTCATTAGTGGATTAATAAAATGTGGTATATGTATACCATGGAGTACTACTCAGCTTTAAGAAACAATGGTGATATAGCACCTCTTGTATATTCCTGGATAGAGCTGGAACCCATTCTACTAAGTGAAGTATCTCAAGGATGGAAAAACAAGCACCACATGTACTCACCAGCAAATTGGTATTAACAGATCAACACCTAAGTGGACATATAGGAGTAACATTTATTGGGTGTCAGGCAGGTGGGAGGGGGAGTAGGGGATGGGTATATACAAACATAATGAGTAAGAGGTACAGCGTTTGGGGGATGGGCACACTTGAAGCTCTGACTTGAGGGGGGAGGGGAGCATGGGCAATGTACATAACCTTAACACTTGTACCCCCATAATATGCTAAAATAAAAAAATAAACAACAAAATAATAATAATACAATAAAATATTCTTAAAGGCTGTTGAAATTATCCCATGAGATAGAGTTTGTTATAAACCTTATATGATGCAGAAACTTTATAAAATACTGAATTTTTTTGTTTCTAACAACAAGCAGTTGAAAGAAGTCAACAACTTAACAGTTTGCAAAAAAAAATTAAACTTGTTAGGGAAGAAAGTAAGTGTGCTCAGAGGGATTATTAAATGTACCATTTTACTACTTCAGATTGATTTTCCTTAGCCATAAAATTTGATTAAAGTGAACCAAGAAATGACAGAAGTCAGCTGCTTACATGCTAAATTTTAACTCCTAATTACTGGAAATAGCAAAAGTAAATTGTTACCTAAAACTAAATTGTTGAAATCTGAAATATGTTAAAAACTTAATAAAACACTGTACCCCCATAATGTGCCGAAAAAAAAACAACTTAATAAAACAGAAAAATATAATTTAAACATGTTTGAAAAAAATTAGTGCAAGTAGAAAGATTCCCATGTGAAATGCTTAAATTAGAGAAAATGATAAAATACAATTTTCTGAATATAAGAGTAAACACCCTGTGATCCATAAGATCAAAAAATCTATGATTTTTTGTTTTCTTCATGTAAAACATTCATTAAATGATACTATTAAGATAGCATGACAACCAGTTAAATACAACTTTGCATATAATCTTCAAAAGTTGTTAAAAACTATACCACCATAAATATAAATAGACTTTCAAAAGAACTACCTTTTTAATAAGTTTAGAAATTTATGGCACTGGTTATTTTGGTAAGTTATTTTATTTATGGAATCTAGAGCCATTTAGTACATGATACACTAATACATTTGAATGATTTTTAGACTATAGGAATTGTCTACACAGATAAAATGCTTTTCTCAGTAGGACTACTAGCATTTTATTTACACTACTTCATTTAGACAATATGAAATGCTTTGTGCACTTCCTCCCATCTCTAATATACAAATGAATCATTGAGAATCTTGTAAAGATTTTGATTCATTAGGTCTGAGGTGGGGCCTGAGATTCTGCATATCTCAGTCCCTAGAGGATGCTGATGCTGCTTATATGGGGATGGCACTTAGAGTAATAAGGTGTAAAGAATAGAAAATGTCCAGAACAGAGCTAATAATGGATGCGTTTAGATTTCTCTATTTTCACTGACTTCAGTTCTTTTAATTTGCTATTTGACCTTTTTTTTTTTTTTAGACAGGCTCTCATTCTCCAGGCTGAAGTGCAGTGGTTCACTTGTAGCTCACTGCAGCCTTGAACTCCTGGGCTCAAGTGATCCTCCTGTCTCAGCCTTCCAAGTAGCTGGGTCTATAGGAACCCACCACCACAGCAGGCTAAATTTTTAATTTTTTGCAGAGCCTAAGTCTTGCTATGTTGCCTAGCCTGTTCTCAAACTCTTGGCTTCAAGTGACCCTCCTGCCTCAGTTTCCCAGAGCACTGGGATTACAGGAGTGAGCTACTGTGCCCCGTTGCTAATTTACTTTTGATACCAAGAACATTTCCTATCAATTTATTAAATTTTGTTTAGGCATAATTTTATTTTGTTTCATAATAACTCTTCTGATCTGATAATTTTAAACATTATTTAATAACAGTACTTTGTAAGTTGGCAAGATCATTGCAAGATTTCCTGGTCTCTAGCTTTGGCTCTGATACTCATTTAGCAGTGTGACCCTAGGCAAATGATTCAGCTAAGTTTCTGCATATTAAAATGGAAGCTGGCTTAGATAAGAGGTTTTCAGATATTTACTTTTAGAAATCAGAGTTTATTCTTCAAATAAACGGGTAAACTAGGCTAGGTGATCTGGAACACAATATTAGAAGCAAAACAATCTTAAAATAATTTGAGTAACTTCAGCACTAGGATGTTTACCAACAACAGAGACAAACTTGTCTTTTTTTGTTTGGTTGGTTCTGTTCTTTTTAGTTTTACATTTTTAAGTGGTCTAAAGGTGCTATTTTTGGAAGTATGGTCTTTTTGTCTTAATAGATATGTAAGGCATTTCTGTATGTAAATTTTTCACATCTTCATACTGGCACATGCCATTTACCATTTTTATAGTGAACTGATAAGCATTTAATTTGTCATGAGTTACACTGGTTATGTGGTGTCAGTAGCCTTAATATCAAATTCATAATACTTCTTTTTAAAAAAATTTAGTTATTTTAAACCTTGGGTTCAATTATTTGCTTTTTTACAAATAGTAATAGAAACTTTATCTTTTGTTTTTAGAATCAAGTCATTTGGAACAGCAGCTTGAAGAAGCTAATTCTGTGAGGCGAGAACTAGATGATGCTTTTAGGCAAATCAAGGCTTGTGAAAAACAAATCAAAACGTTACAACAAGAAAGGGAAGATCTAAATAAGGTAAAAATATATGAATAGATTGTTAAAGTCTTTTCAGCATTCTTGTGTAATTAGAATACTGAAAACATTCATAATGAATTATAATAATATATAGTATATTTTATCTTTAAAAAATGTTGATTTAAAAACTTAAAGAATTATTTTGGTATATGTCATTTGATTTAGTAATGTAAAATTTTTAACTTTTATATTCTTAAGACTCCTAAGTTCAGAATTTTTTGTTCTTTTGAGAAGTTAATAATCAAAAGACTTGATTAAAAGTGAATATTATTGAAAAAGAAGCATGAAAAATAAGAGAATAGTAGAATCTATTTAGCTTCTATAGAAAAAATGTAAAATACACACGTTTTCATTATAACTTGCTGATACAAACATAATTAAAAGATTGTAATATAAAATTTCTTCAGTGAGTTAATTATGTTTAAAAAATGTTAGTTTATCTTTCAAAGCAGCATGGATAAACAAGCTAAAGTTATTTTCATAAGAACTTTGTGTAACTCTTAAACAGTATTATAAATGTTAAAAAAATTTATTAATAGCTAAGACTCTTTAACACAGCCCAATAGTGTAAATAATAGTCACACACTAGAAATACTTTACTTGAACCACATGCTGTTAAGCACTGTGGCCTTCATTAACAAACAAAATGTTGGGACTAAAGAGAGCCAATGCAAACAAGATCAGTACTTATGGTGTGGTATAAACTGTGTTCAGTGATAAAATACGTAATGCAGTGATAATAAAGAACAAAGTCCTTGGGAAGATTTGTAAGCCTTGTTGCAAGGGGAGAAATGGAGGTCATTAAAAATAAAACAACCTTTAGCTGATGAAGCTAATCAACAGAATTAACAGAGAAAGCTATTAAAGATTAAATTGAATTAGATTAGTACATTTTTACTTTCTGCTTAAGGGATTTTCAAGCAATGTTTTATAAAGATCCATTTAAATTCATGGTCAATCTAATGATATTTGGCATTTAAAACAGTTGTTCTATTTATTTAATAATATTATAAGTAATATTAGTGTTTATTATTTTGTATTTATTGGTAGGATTACTCAGTCAAATTTGGTTAACATAATAAAGATGAAAACCTTATATCTAGATTTATCTTGAATAGGTACTTTGCTAATTTTCAATAAGTTTTAATACTAAGAATCTTTTTCATATATTTTGAGAAGAGGATAGTGCTATAAAGAAACAGATTATACCAATAAAGAATTGTAAGTGATTTGCTTAATATCTTACAAACAGTAGAAAGGAATTCCCTTTTCTCCACATTCCTTGCCAACACTTGTTATTGTTTGTGTTTTTTCAATAATAGCCATTCTAATATATATGAGATGACATCTCATTGTTTTGATTTTCACTTCTCCAGTGATTATTGATGTTGAACACCTTTTCATATACCTATTGGCCCTTTGTAGATGAATTAGAGAAATGTCCATTCAGGACCTTTGTCCATTTTTTAATTGGGTTACCAAGTAGTCCAATTGTTTATGATAATACCAAATGGTTTTCCAAATGTAAAGTGTACCAATATACATTTCCACCAGTACTCTATAGGAGTTTCTGTGCTCAACAGTACTTCATATTACATGATTTATTACTTTTGGCCAATCTAGTCTAAATTGAGACTTTAGGTGTAAAGGTGTAAAAGGATGTTTTATTGTGACCTTAATTTGCATTTTTCTAATTACTAATGAGGTCAAGTATCTTTACATATGTCTATTTATCATTTATATTTCTTTTTCTGTGAAGTGCCTCTTAATATTCTTCCTACATTTTTCTGTTAGGTTGTTTGTCTTGATTTGTAAGGATTCTTCAAAATATTTGGACATTCTAATCTTTTGTCAGTTATGTATGTTACATATAACTCTGGTCTTTTTACTTTCTTTATGGAATCTTGATAAACACAAGTTCTTAGATTTAATGTAATCAAATTTATCAGTATTTTTATGGTTACTGTGTTTGCTATATTGTATAAGAAATCTGAGATTAAAAAAAATACTCCTAAATTTTTATCTTGAGGTTTTAAAGTTTGATTTTTATATTTATGTATTTACTCCACCAGAAATTCATTTTTATGTATCATGTGAGATAAGGATCCAGTTTCACTTTTTCCATAAGGCTTACCAGTTGTTCATTTACTAAATAAACCCTTCTTTCCCCAGTGATGTGCAGTGTCACCTCTGTCATATATTAAATTTCCATATATGCATGGGTTTGCATCTTGATTGTTCCTTGAAAACTGTGATGGAATTCTGGTTGAAATTTCATTGAATCAATGAATAATATCAGGAGAATATACATCATTATAACACTGAATCTTTAAGTTCTTACTGTCCATATTTATTATTATTCTGAATGCACTTACAGATTACAAGAGGAGATCAGTTACTATTATTTACATACAGCAAATAATAACCACATAGCTTCTCTGTGCACCAGTTCTTACCTCCACGGTGAAGCCCTGGATAAAACCCTACACATAAGGAGTCTGTATTGTAAAAAAGGAACCCTGAAAAAATTTACCCAAGTGTCTGTATAGAGGAAAGAGTCAACTTCCTCCTTCTTCCCCTGCCCCCGTTAAGAGAGTCTCCTTGGAAATCTAAAGAGAAGGATCTTGAGTTCTTTCTCTAACCCTTTGAAATATAAATAAATGACTCCAGTGGAAAGATAAGCCCAGTGTCTCCTGCTGTAACAGAGGAAGTCCCTTTGGTCTAGGCTCTTCCTTTCTCCAATCCCATCTTGAAATGTAAGCATACTATCTCCAGAAGGTAAATCTCTCAGTTTTCTTACTGTCCAATTTCATCATAAATTACTTTCCAAGACTTACTTTTAACCCAGGTGTAGTGAAATTTGTTCACAAAGGCAAAAACATAAATAGTTTCTTTGCAGCCCCACAGTCTTTTTATTCACAAACATATCTCTCCATATGTTTAAAGTTCTTTTAAAATGTTCTTCCATAGAATTTCATAAAGGTGTCATTTGCCTTTCCTTAAATATATATTCTGTTTTTAACATTTTAAATATCTTTAAAATTATGTTTTCTTACCGACTTTTCTATATCTGTTTTGTTCTAGCAACATTGCTAAAATCTCTTAATTATAATGGGATATATTTTAGATTCTTTGAGGTTTTCTGCAAATAACGAGTTTGTTTCTTCCCTTTAGATTTTCATGACTTTTCTTTCTCTCCTTGTTTTACTGTATTAGCTACAACCTCAGTACAATATTGAATAGAAGTGGTAATAGCAGGCATCCCTATCTTGTTCCTGATTTTAAAGAAAATGCCTCTAATAATTTTACCACTAATAATGTTTTCTGTAAGTTTTTAGTAAATACTTTTTATCAGCTTAAGGAAGTTGCCTTCTATTCCTATTTTGTTTATTGTTTTCTATTAAGAATGGATATTGAATTTATTAAATGTGCTTTTCTATACTCTATTGCTATGATTGTATGATTCTTTAATAAGTTGGTGTGCTGAATTACATTTATAGGTAATTTGTAATGTTAAATCATTATTAAATTTCTGAGTTAAGCCTACATTTCTCATGTATTATCTTCTAAGTAATAATATGATTATATAGGTAACATTTATGTAGCAGATATCATTCTAATAGTACTTTTCTAAGTACTTTACATATATTAGATTAATCTTCATCATAGCCCCATGAGTTTAGCTATTATTATTATTATTCTCATTTTACAAATGGTGAGACTGAGCACCAAGAAGTTAAGTATACTTGCTTAAAATCATAGAGACAGAAAATGAGGAAGTTGAAATTTCAACACAAGGTATTTAGCTCGAGAGTTCATGCATATCCACTTTATACATCACTGGAACTGATTTACTAATTTTTTTTTTTTTAGGATTTTTACCTTTATTTTTATTAGTGATATTAGCTTATAATTTATTTTTGTTACCTTTTTATCTCAAGATAATACTGCTCTCATAGATTGAGTTGATTAGCATTGCTGCTGCCTCTAGTGTCTTTAAAAGACTATCTAAGACAAATGCTCTGTTCCTGAAAATATTGGTGAATGACCCTGTAAAACTGCCTGGGTCTGAAGGTTCTCCCCCACCACGAGAAGGATGGGGAGATTTTGTTAACTGTTAGTTTAGTTACTTTAATTGTTAGAGGACTATTTAGGTATCCTGTTTCTTCTTAAAACAATTTTGATACACTATATTTTTCTAGTCATTTGTTCATTTCATAAATTAACAAATTTATTGCCATAGAGTTCTTCATTGTATTTTCTTATTATCTTTTTGGTCTTCTCTTGATTTATTGTTATACCTTCTTTTTCTTTCTTAATATTATTTCTTTGTGCTTTCATGCTTGTTCCCTTGATTCATCTCACTAGATATCTATTTTATTATTGTCTCAAAGAACCAGCTTTTGCCTTTGTTGATCCTTATTATTCTCTCATTTGTATTTCAGTGACTTTTGCTGTTATCTTTATTATCTTCTTCCTTATATTGGGGATGGGGAGAGGGTTATTGTGTTGTTTTGTTATATCTTTAACTTCTGAATGAAATTCAGTCTCATTAAATTTCGACTTTCCCTTCCTCTTTCACTTCCCCTTCTAAGACAGGATCTTGCTCTCTCACCCAGCTAGAGTGCAGTGGCTCAATCATGGCTCACTGCAGCCTCTAACTCCAGGGTTCAAGTGATTATCCTGCCTCAGCCTCCCAAGTAATTGGGGCCATAGGTGCACGCCACCATGCTCAGCTAACTTTTTTAATTTTGTAGAGATGGTGGCTTGTTATGTTGCCCTGGCTGGTCTTGAAATCCAGACCTCTAGTTATACTCCCCCCCTTGGCTTTCCCAAACGTTGGGACTACAGGAATGTGTCACTGCACCTGGCCATCTTTTTTTTCTTTTCTGTGTAAGTATTTCAGGCTGTAAGTTTCCCCCTAAGTATAGCTTTTACTACGTCTCCAAATTTTACTTTATTTTTTTCCAATTTGCCTTATTTTTAATTTCAGCATCTTA